AGAATTTTGTTCTCTGCAATTAAACACGAGCATGAATTTTGAAAGTATATAACAAATCACAGCCCAGTTACTGTGGACTGGTTTTGAATAAACTAGACCTCCAATATTTATGTCATTGGATCTTAATTATCAGATATTAAATATTCATCTCTAGTTCTTTTCTCTTTCATGAAATTTGGAAGCATCAAACTTTCCAGGTTCCCTAGGAATTGGTCGAGTCATATGACCAATTCTAGACAATAGATTTGAGGTATAAGAGACATAATATACTATTGTAATGGAACATGTAATTACTGGAGAGACCCCCCCCCCCGCCTGGGCTCAAGCTTCCTCTAGAATAGTGACTGTGGAAGCTCATGTTGGTATGAAAATGCAGGGCCAAATTATCTTATGGGGAGTAGTTGCTCTGGGAAGTCACATAGCTCCTCAGCTGACTTGAGCAAGAAATATCAACCTTTGTTGTTTGAAGTTTTTGAGATTTTTCCAAAGGCTTGTTACTGCAGCATAAACCAGTGAAATCTAATATGCCAGTGATTGGGAAGTGTGCTGTTATTTTTATATGCCACTGAGGAAAAAAAGATATCACTTATGCTGGGTGTAATGGCGTATGCCTGTATTCCCAACTGTTCAAAAGACTGAGAAAGGAGGATTGAGAATTTGAGGTCAGTCTGGGCAATTAGGTGAGACCCTGTCCCAAAATAAAATTTGAAAATCATAGAATGGAGCTTAGCACAAGAATGCTTGCCTAGCATGTGCAAGGCTCTAGGTGTAATCCCTAGTACTGGAAAAAAAGAAATACTTTGTGATTATAAGAATTCCGTATAAGAGGTATCTTAATCTCAAAGATGTTAAAATTTTAAAAATATAGGCCTCAGATTAGGTAAAATACAGATCATTAGAGCAATTCTTGAAAGCAGATCAGCGTAGCATTAAGAGCTCCAAAGGTGGAGCTGGACAAGAAGTTATGAATTCAAATCCCCATATTTTTTTTACCTCGGGTTTTAGTAGCTTGTGTCAGCTTTAGATTCTTTACCTATAAAATGGGGATAGTGGAAGTGGCCTCAGGGTTTTGTGAATATTTGTGAGATAATCCTATAATATGCTCAGTGTAGTAATTATTCCACATATTTTTAACCCCTGTCTTTGGCTGGATTACAGAATTTGTTCAAGATAAACACACAAGCGAACCTATTTTCAAGCTTTTTTGAAAATTAGGGCATACAAATCCATAAGTAATTATTTAGTAATTCTTACCAGGCACCAAGACTGGGCCTCTGAGTTAAACACAGTATTTTTGAAGATAACAAAGAAACAGATTTAGAGGTGGAGAGACCACAGCAGATCGCCCCTGAGGTCTTCCCATCTGCTCCCTGAGATGTTTTCCAGGTGAGTTAGCCTAGACTGAACATCAAGAGCAGCCTTGGAGTAGAAAGAAGTCACAGAAATGTACCTGAGGAGTGTAGGAAAGAGCTGTCCTGTACCCATCTTGGGAACTGGAAGAGACAGTAGAGGAGAAATAGAGTTTGTATGTCTGGATGTCTGGAGTCTTGTTTTTTTTTTGGGGGGTGTTGTGTGTGTGCACGTATGCAGTGCACATGTGCACAGAAGGAAGGAGTGAATACTAACCCAGACTGGGAAGCATAATGGAAAGTCGTAGCTGCAGAAATGTGGCTCTTCTGAGATATATTTATGTATTGCTCCTACCTGGGTACAGACCATGAAGTTCTCCAGAGAATGTTATTTCACGTCAAATGCCAAATTCCAAAAGCAGCAACTCTTGCTATAATTGTCTCAACCTAGAGTTATTAACATGTAACAATCCTGAGTTTTGAAAATTTTCCATATATATACTTTATGAGCTTTTATTGTTATTTAAGATGCAAATTGGGGATTCTAATGTAACATTTTCAGGTCAGTTTGCCTGCAAAGGAAGAGGTGGCGGATTAATATCATTATTATTATTAAATGTCCCAACCGTTTCCTTCAGTCATTTTCTTTAAAGGAAATATAGCTGCCTGTAAATATCACTCTGGACAATAGCTCACTTTTTCTGTTTACTTTATTCTTAACTCATGAAACTGTATCTTAAGGCTTGGGGTATATAACTTGTTATTTGATATCAGCTGAACAACAGTGAATCAATTGTAATGGCTCTGGCACCAAAGGAAACAGACGAGACTTAAATATGTTTCCAGAAGACAGAAACCTTCTTTTTGAGTACAGTTTACAACACATGCGTCCAGTTTTTGACTATTCAGAAGTCAAAGAAAAGTTTCTCATGACTTTCTTTATTAAAGACCAAGACGACAAAACAGAAAAAACCAATTCCAACTCACATTATTTATCAGATGTTTTGGGTGAAATTCAGATTAAACCCCCAAAAGTCTGTTACTCTGTCCCTCTAGCAATAGCATTAGAACGAACCCTCTGCCACATCTCCCACCTACTGCTCCGGCCGTCGAGCTAACCCCGGGGAAGGGGCGGCGCGCCGGGCAGGGCTGTTCGCGCAAGCACATTCGGGCTCCGCTCCGAATCTTTGCTGAGTGGGTCGTCCTAGTCTGCCTGCGTCTACCGCCGGCCGCGAGTCCGGGTCAGACGACTTGGTGCTCACAAACTGGGTGCACCTGGAAGTGCTACCAGGGGCTACTTGGGAAAATCTCAACCGAGAACACCACACCATAAAGCAGTCGTCCCTTAAACCTGGTCCATGTGTCTCTCGACTTTTCCTCGTCCCTGCTCATTCTCTTAGGGATTTGAACTTTTCCTGGGCACACGTGTTTCGCGCGGACCCCTTGCAGGCGCGGAGCTGACTTGGCCCTATGGGCTCAGGCCTCCCTGGGATCTAGGGAGCCACACAGGTCCCGGCGCTCCTTCCCCCCTGCCCACCCCCGGGAAGAAATCAGGCTCAGTTCTCCTGGGTACACTCCCCAATATTTGGAATTTGGTGTGTACAAACACAATGATGCTAAAACGCCCAAACGGCAAAGTGGAGGTGCCCAGCCCTCCTGGATATGCCCCCCCAAATATCTCCAATTTGACGTTTAAGACACAAAACGCAAAAATGCAAATTAAGCATGTTATAATCAGAACGAGTCTCCTTTGACAGGCCGAAATGTGATTTTAATGGAAAGCTTACTCATAGCCCCACATCGAGTTCATTCTTTTAAGTACTTAAAAAATGTGTAATTTTAAGTTCCACCACTGTCATAATGAACACTCCATCATAACAAGCAGTAGAACAATGGACACCCCCGTGTCACATTGTGTCAGGTAATTACAAAGTGTCGTGGCGCGGGAAAGCGGAGCCGGGAACGTCAGTGTGTCCCCTGCAGCGTGTAAGAGCTTTCGCGAGTCTCAGGGAAGACTCAGCAAACGGTTCACACCAGTGCCTTAACCCAGAGATAGAGACAGACGCCATCTGATCTTTGTCCCAGGCCTGGACCCACAGGACCAAAAGGGGGCTGTGTGAAGGAAGAGAAACTGTGCAGCTCCGGAGGGCACGCGCAAGTCGTGGGGAGAGAGCGCGATCGCGCGGGGAAGAGAAGGTCCCGCGGGGCCAGGCGAGGACATCCGGCTCCTGGAAAGATCCACGGGGGACCTTTCCCCCAGCAGCACCCAATAAACCTTTTGGGTTAAGCCCAGGGTGTGCGCACTAGGTCATGGGGTAAAGGTTTGTTACTTTGTAGCAGGGTTTGAGAGTGTGCGTGCGCGTGGGGGGGCGGGTTGGAAATAGGGAGGGGGAGGGAGCGGGATGGAGGGAGAGAGAGAGAGAGAGAGAAAGAGACAGAGAGAGACAGAGAGACAGAGAGACAGACAGAGACAGAGAGACAGAGAGAGAGAGACAGACAGAGGGAGACAGAAAGAGAGAGAGAGAGAGAGAGAGAGAGAGAGAGAGAGAGAGAGAGAGAATGAGAATAGAGAGAATAGCTCATAGATGGGGGACTGCAGACCCAGACGCCCTACTTCTAAGAGGTTCTTAGAAGGGCAAACCTTCCACGCTAGAGCAGTCAGAGCGCACTGCGTTGGGGGCCGCCTGACTAAGGAGGGCACCGCTCCGAGGGACATCCAGCCTCCATGCTCCCTGCAGCGGCCCCTGGAAGGGGACACTATCCTGGCATCCAAGGGTTGGGTCCGGGCTGTAGTTTCCTTGCCCTTAGACCCAGGCGAGGTGATCCGGAGGCGGTGGGCTCGGTCTGCTTTCCCGGGGGGCAAGCGGCCCTCTCGCGTGGCGACCTCAGATCCCCGCGCCCTTCGATCGCTCCACTCCTCCTCTCACCCCCCGCCCATTCATTTTTTCCTCAACAGCTTATTGAACGGGTTCAAAAACGAACTCTAAACCCACACTCCGGAGTTCAGAGAAGGGCCGGGGCTGGAAAGGGCGCGGGCGCGCGAGGAGAGTCTCGCAGAGGGGGTGGCCGCGAGGGGCGCCGCGAACCGCCGGGGCCGGCGCGGATGAACAGGCGGCCGCGAGCAGACCCCGGAGCCGCGCAGCATCCGCGTACACAGTGACGGGGAAGCCAC